GTTCTTTAAAACCTTAATTCCAGGTCTTGCATCAGCCATTGAGACTTGCACGATCACACTGAGCTTTTGCTCATTATCAGTGGCCTTGTATGAAGACCAAAATACCTTCATGAATTGAAGTTAACATAGGCTTTTTAGCTTCTTCTTCCTGTCTGAGCTAAGCCAAGAACAAATTAGTACCAAAATGTGATACAGTACACCCATAAAAATCAGAGATGTGAATCAATGCAAAATATTTACATGTTGTAAGAGAACCCCAAGCACAGTAAAGACAAAACCAAGTTGTTTGATTAGTGCTAGCACTAATGATGCCTGCTTTCCAGTTCCTTTGTACCTCATAGCTGGATTCTCTAGCGCCCAAGAAGGTGTGAATTCTGCCTGAAGCTTTTCCCACTGACATTGGTCAGCCGGACCTCCTTGTGGACTCAAGCTGAATCTGTATTGCTTTTTCTTCAAATAGAGGAACTACTATGGCTTATCTCCTCTGCCCAACGACCTATTTCCATGTAACTTAAAGGAACTCAGTATTTCAGGTAACGAGATACAGGTCTGTAAGTTGCCCCATAGCTAAATATTTACTAGGGAAGGATGCAAGTGCACTTACAGATCACTGCATTTGCACAAACCTGTCTTCACAGAATCAACAGACAAAATAAGGAAGGAATTCAAAATGTGAACAGTGAAAAATTGGATGAATACATAATTTAACTGCATTTTCCTGAGGTATGAAATCTGAAAAATAAACTAAACTAACATGGTCACAAAGCTAGTGTTGATACAAAGATCCTGATGCTGAAATACAGAACATACACAAATTCTGTTCGTCTCTTCCACAGTCTTATTTCAGTTAGCTCACCAGCCTTTTCTGTTCTGGTTGTATTATACTTCACCCTGCTACAATGTTATCTAGAGAGGAAAAACAAAACAAAAAACTTAGCCTTTTATATTAGCTCATTTTGCTACCCGAATATAAAAAAAAAAAGTTTCCTTTATAGCAAACTGACTGTAATACAGAAGTACCTTACTCTATAGGAAAGATGAGAAGAAAAAAGTCTGTAGACTCTCACTGGCTTTATTGATAATAACTCTTGTAAATGAATTTAATCCAACATTGCAACAGGAGTAATCAAAAAAAAAATACAAGAAAGTGCAGAAGTGTCCTTTGTCATTTGGAACCTCCTGTATTTTAACAAAGGACTTCGTAATTGCTCCAGTATCACAGCACTAATAGAAAGTAATGCTCTGAAGCTGAAACTTCTTATGCTTATCAGAAACTTCCTCTAATCAAATACCAGCTCACAGAAGTTCTGAGTTCTTCACTGACAGATGTGGTGAAAAAGCCCTACAGAAAAAGCAATACTCCACCATGTGGTATTGCAGGAAAAAAAACAGTCCTCTTCAGTACACCAGACTTTTCCCATTCCTACATTGATTTTACATATAAAGACTAAATTTGTAGTAGAACAGAGTAGTTTTTAATGGAACCATCTTCTGACAGGGATTTAAAAAGTATGACTTAGTTGATTGCACCAGAAAGTGAAAGTGAGCAGAAAAAATAAAACAAACAGAAAACTTCTAGATTCAACAATGTAATTCAGATGCTCAGAACTGAATACATTAACTTTTCTGTTTGAAATTACTTTTTTTTTTTTGCACATTTTAAATATGTTGTATGACACTTTCAAGAACTGGAGAGGTATTTTGAATCAAATAAAAATATTTGGTGGAGAAAAATGAGAAATTTCCTCAGAAGAGAAGTCTTCAAGTTTACTTCTATTCTTAAAGGTATGATTTTGAAATTTCAAAAATTCCCAAAACTCAAATTACACTCTTTGTATTTTGGGTATATAAAGAACCCCTCACATTTTTTAAATCTTTCTCCCCTACTCAGTTTTCCATAAGATACACTGAATTTTCCTAGACCATTTTCCAAAATGTGATCTAGAAAAAAAAACCACAAACAAATAATTGCAAACTTACAGGAATAATGCGTAAGTATCAAAACTGTCTGTACTAAGAGTAGTACAGCAAATGAAAATATATAGGTTTTTTTCCTCCTTTTTGTTGGTTACATTTCTCATCGTAGAATTGCTGTTAAGCATTCAATAAAAACGCGTTAGAAGAAAGAGTGCTTCAGTAAGTTTTCACATGATCTTGATCGTAGAAGCAGTCATTGCCAGTATTTACCATTCCTCACTGGTGATATTTAAGCATGGCTTGCTGCACTGCAGCATTTGGAACTACAACACACCTCAGGTCTGCTGAGAACTGGCACAGCAATACATTGCAAAGATATTCAGTCCACTTTTTTGTTTTTCATCCACAGTTACTGTTTGGCTAAAAAAGGGAAGAAAATCCTCCATTTTTCACTGCTGTTAGTACTCTTTGAATTTCATCCAATTTGTCAGTTTTCTATCATCTTTTCTTTGAGGTGTAATTCTGAGATTTGCATGACTTCCACTAACAAATACAGTAATTAATCCTTCATTTCTAGGACTGCTTCAAAAAAAAAAAAGGAAACGTTAACCTTTAGGGAACTGGTTTTGCCTGAGAAGAGACATTTGCTGCATTTAAGTAATAAGATGAAAAGTTATTTGAAACAGTTTTTCCCAGCATTCATCATCATAATGTTGTACAGACACAGATTTCCAGAATAAAAACAAACCAAGCATGAATATGAGGATGGCCTTTCTTTTAGGATCATTTTTGAAGACGCTTTTACAAATTTACTGTGTAGCTAGGCACTGAAGTGCGGTGGAGACAACCACAGTACAAATGACTGCAGAATTAGCCTACAAGCATATGAATATTTCAATGAGTGCTTGATAAAGCCCTAGCTACCTGGATACATAAGAATTCACAAATGCACCTGAATCTATAGTACATGCACATGTTCACTGCTGCAGAAGCCTTATAACTCCCTTAACATCATTCACTTGGCCCAAGGAAATAGAGTTCAAATTTCAATAATATCTTTCCTAAATGAAAAGATGAATTCTGAAGTTATATACATGAAATAGGAAGTATCCCTTTTCGAAGAAAACTAGGAAGAACACTGAATTTAGTAGTAACAAGTAAGAGTAGGTCACCTATCCTAAATTCAGTTTACCATAAGAAATCACATCAAACAAAACAAATTATCAGCACATCCTATTTATCATCAGTACAGACTGCTCCATGTACTTATTTTCAGCCACGATATATAGAATTTCTTTGAAAGGCAAAGGTAGTTAACTACTTCTCTGCATAGAACGTAGAGATACAGCAGAAGTGAAGGTGCGTCCCTGTTCACAAAGTCACCATCTACTGTCTACAGGCTACATCAAGAAATTGCAAAGGCTTACACTATCTGTGTACTACTACTTGTTTTCAAGCAGGGGAACAAATAGCCATCCTTCCAGGAAAGGATTTCAAAAAACTGGTCATCTTTGAGTCCATGGACAACTGACAAATCTCTGGAGGAAAACTGAGCCTTCAAGCATTAATGTAATAAACAGGCGTTATTCTGAAACAGGGTCAGAAGTTGGTGATTTGTTAATCTGAAACACAAAGGGAGCTGAGGCAAAAATTTAACACAGCTACTTAATTCCCAAAAAGTACTCCCAATGGTGATATTAATGATTACTGTTGCAGCATAAATTTAGATTTTGTCTTTCTTTCTAGTCTAGCTTTTAAAGGTTGGTTTGACCAATCTGTATATGATTTTCAATTTATCCATATGTTAGCATTTTATTATGAGATAGTAAAAGCACAGGCCATGCTTTCATATGCAATAACAAACACGAGGCCAAAACAGTCGGCTTTATCAGGGCCAGATATATAGTCCAGTCCAGTTATTGCTCTTGGAAAGCAATAAGACTTTAACTTCAGCTAGTTCTATGGATAGGAGTCGCTTCATATTAATTTTAAAAAAATGCTTTCAATGAAATTTGGGCCATAGTTTCACAGCCTGCATTCCACTAACTGTTGTGGACCTAATTCTTCAGCAGAAATTTTATGTGCTGGACAAACATATCACACCTTACAGGGAGGCTGTGCTCACTGATCATGGCTTTGTAGATAGAACCACAATATTATTTCTAAATGAAATTTTATTTATGAATTGAAGTATTTGACAGAAATCTGCTCCTCCTACATCCAAAGTTCTAGTGCATCAACAGTGCATAATATGAGCTTCTAAATAACATGCCTTACAGATCAGCTCTGATCAGAGCTTCTTAAACATACAACTCTTCAATTGTTTAGTGCAGTACAATGAAATCCTAGTCTTGAATGGGACCTCATTTTTCAGTTGCAGTAAGAATATTTCTTTTAAAAGTCTCCGAGAAGAAAGATTTTCCACCAGTCACTGAAGGCACCAGCATAAGAAAGCCAGAAGTAGTATGAAGAGCAAGAGATATGAATCAAGAAAATTTAAATACAACTCTGTCATATCGTTGTACATGCACCCTTGGTAGCTTTAGAGACCAATAACGGTCAGCTCAACAGAAAGGCTCTTCTAGTCATATGAAATACACTACCATAAGCCCTAGAAGAAGAAGAAAAAGGAAGGTAATAAGACCTGTACCAGAAATTGTATCTCTATTCATAAGGTTTCTTTGCTATGTACTAAAAATTGCCACATTTCTGTCCACTAACACTCTTTACAGAAAGTTCGTTTTCGTTGTTTCTGCAGATAGATTTCTCAAAGAGGTCTTTATGCAGTTGAACTGTCTTTAACCAAAACAGTTCTCATGCAACTGTAATATACTACAGAAATAGTGCAAGTTCAGGAGATGGGAGGAGATCATCTAGGTATTCAACTTCTTGGAGCGGGGGAGAACCTTTAAAAGTTCTTGAAGACAGGCAAAGTGGGAAAACTAAAGTTCATTCCTTCTTGTGCATCTCCCCTCTTTACCTTGGAGCTTCAGGGAAACTTGAAACTACTAACAGAACTGCAGTGCTCCCAATTGCTTAACATCAGGTCAGTTGAGTGGCTTGCTATAAAACTTGCAGTTCAATTTAACCTAGCTTTGACCTAGCTATAAAGTCATGATAAAGAACACAAAAATCATGATTTATATCTGTAAAAAAACTTATTTATTGATGATGTCAAAGAAGCATGAAGCTTGATTTTCAGAGACTCGTTTTTATTCACTTGAGTCTAGAAGATAGCAAGTATCTTCTTCCCTATACACAGACTAAGTCTATGGGACATAAAAATCCTTCAAGCATTCCTGAAATTATAGAATTTCTGAAGACCGGATAGCAGAATACAGCCAACATTATGGTCAGAAAAATATATGCCTTCAGAGTTATTAACATGAAACGATCTAACTTCTTTCATAGCCAACTCTGATCATCCTGACAGCATCAGATCATGTAACCTCTCCATAGATACACAGGAGGAAAGAAAAAAAAAAATCAAAACCAAAAAAACTCCAACATTTTGGATGTGTAGCTGCCCCTATGCTTTCTGCAGTGGGGGTCTATACTGTCTGAAGACTATCAAAGGTTGGGATCCTTCCAAAGGCAAACTGTTTATTCAAAGGCAGATTTGATCAAGGCTCATGTTTTCCAAAGGCAACTAGCTTACTTAGGCTTTTTTGAAAATCCTTTCCCTAAAGCTTATTCACTCGGCTGTTCAGGCTGCATATTTTAAAAGCAGAAAACTGCCAAGCCAAAAAAACACAAAATTTGTTTCTAAGAGAATGCAAGAAGACGACAAAGAGCAAAAGTTAATACTGCATTTCATTGCAAGCCTCAGCGAGCACAAAACACCATTGTTTTAAAGACAGCTAAAAATACTTTCTTCTATGAGCTCTTGCTCTTCTGCCAGAGACATGCAATACACTGAGGAACATAAGTGTACACAGTCAAAATATTTATACTATTATGAAGAAGCCGTCCCTGTTTTAGTATCCTTTATTATAGCTGGTAAGTTGGAACTGAATTTTTATAATACAGACAAAAGGTTTGCAGATTATCAACCACAGACAGGATTGTATATTGGTTTCCTTGCAGACTTCATTAATGTTAAACAGGAAAACAGCATACATTTTCTCTAGATCATCTGAAATACTGGTGTAACAATCAATATGGTTAGAGGACAAAACATGATTTCACTTTCTAACCCTCTTTGCTGCGTGATGTATAGCTGACTTGTACTAATGCATTCTGATAAAAGGAACAGAAGGCCATGTAGACAACATGAAGTCACCTAGCCTCACTTGAAGCTTTACAAGTGTTTGTTCTCTATCCTCAGAAATTTTTGGCTCAGCTCCAATTTCAATAGAACTTTTCACTTGAGGTCTAGGGGAACACCGAAAGCTAAGCATTTATAATGATCAGAGAAACACTAATGGAAAGTATCTAAATTTGGCTTTTTTCTTTTGCTAATTTCAACTACTGGAAAAATCTTACATTTGTTAAGGAAATAAAACAAAGATCTAGGAATGGGGGGACAATTCACTTCTGAAAATGTGAATTTTTTGCCCTACTTACTTAATCCAAAACAGTGTCTAGAACATCAACAGTGTAACTGTGATACTGCCAACATTGGCTCCAACTGTGGAAATTTTTAAAGTTTAAAAAAAAAACTTTTAAAAAAAAAGTTAAGAGTTCTTGACTTCCCCACCTCCAAAGAAAGAAAACAGTCAGCTACTTTGTAGATTCCTTTGCCTCACAATTGCCCAGGTTTATTCTGTAGCACAACTGCTATTTTCACATTAACTTAGCAAGAATCTAATCCGTCACTGGAGCAACAATAAGTACAGCAATCATAAATTGCCATCTCCTGCATTGAAATTATTTTTAATTGCCCTTTTCTGTTGTAAGCCAAGGAAGAAAAACAAAACTAAACAAAAAATTAAGAAGGGTGCAGGCCACACTTACATGCCAAAAAACATTGGCTTTAAATAAGGTCCAGAACTGGGACAGATTTTATAACTTTTAGAAAGTTGCTTAATAGCCTCAAAAAGCCTGTTTGTGTAGTTTGTTAGATTATAGCAGGCTATTATTACCTTTTCAATAAGAAAAGCATGAATGGTAAAGCAGTAAAAGTGAACAGACAAAAGAATTCAAAGTACTGAAAACATTTCTACTACCTACATTACTTGATTCTTTAGCTGCAACTTTAGTTCTTCCTTGAACCTCGCCCTTCTTTCCACACTTATGAAAAGGCGGCATATAGAAAGATAAAGTGTCAGTGCTACAGGCTGGTTCTATTAACAGGCTGGCTTGATTCTTGCTGTAGTCACTAACAGCAGTTCTACTGGAGGTTTGTTTCTCTTCTCTAAAAGCAATAACGAGCTGTAACGATTACTAAGGACTAACAGAGGAAGTCATACGACTGTCACTGACCTTGGTTAATCTACGATAGCAAGCATCTACACCTTTCTCTGATAGGCATCACCAATAAAATCCCTTCGCCATCCTCCTTCCTGTTATATCCTCTATACTTACCTATCTTAACTTCTTCCTTCTATATTAATCCATTAAAAAGGGAGCTAACAGAACATTTCTGATTCTAAATTATGTTCCAACAGTCATTCTGTATGTCATTCAACATTCATAACTGTAGAGTTAAGACTTCAAGCACTTCAGGGTGGGATTTTTTTTTTTTTTTTTTTAAGTAGTCTCTGCAACACTTAATACGTCAGCATACTGTCCTCAGTTGACCTTGAGGCACACAAACAGATACATTTAATAACAAATACACTATCTGACCTTTGCTCTGAAAGAGACTGAAAGGAAGAATGGACAGTCCAACCAGATACCACTGATGAAAATGCCTCTAGTTCAAGCTCCACTACTGATACATGTAGGAACATTAACAGAGACAATTCATGTTCATCTCAAGACTGTCCTGCACACCGGAAATTTGTTTCAAGATCAAGCATGCTGAAAAGCAAGACTTTCCAAAGTAAAACAGAACAATATATTAAAGCTTCTGCTGCCCGTAAATATGTATTTAAGCACACCTTATAGGTCTCCAAAAAATCTTAACTTAGTTCTTTATGGTATTATATAACTTAAAAAAATGCTTATTATTTATTGCCATGCCATCAAGCCTGGAAGACAGAAACTTATTAGACTTGTCTCAGCAAGTTTGAGCTTTAATTTCTCAGAAGTGTCTTTAATATTGCACAAAGTGAGTCCTAAAACAAGGATTTTAAGTCCAGAACATGTTTAACATGAATGGATCTGTTACTAGACACTGTATATAACATCTAGCAAAGGAGTTAAGAGAATCAGCATAATCACTATGGCAAGATCTTTTGTTTGAGAACACCCAGAAAATAGACAGATGGATAACAAGTCCCTGCAAATATGCTGTTTACTTACAAAGCTTCAGAACAGCTGGTGGTGTCTTCTTGCAATAGGTAAAACAGAATAATTACTGTCTCCTACCTTCATTAAAGAATTAGCCTAGACCCTATCACACTGCAGTTCTCAAAATTCTTCACAACAGAAAAGAGCTGCAAGCAACAGAACTGGTAGATATTCAGGAAATTTATAATTCTTCTACATCAGAAGAATTAGTCCCTAATAAAGCCACAATTGCTAACATTTGGCAGTCTTACTTTGCCGTTGTCAAACTTCCAATTAACATTTATTCCAACTGGCTGGAAGATACTGACAATAGGCACATGCTGTTCTAGAGACCAACATTTGAAATTTACCGCTAGAATAAGAACTTGGAGGTTTGGAGGTTTAACAACCTAAAACAACCTCATACGCTAAAAAGTTAATGCATTTCATACATAAAATGAAAGTATGTCACATTACTTACACCTTTAACAGTCTATATCTCAGTACAAATATAATCACTGAGTAAATACCATTCCGTTACAGTGGATGATATCAATCTTCTCATCCCTTTCCTACTTTTTCCTAATCAAGTTATCCAACTGTTGGAACTACTCTAGGTGAAAAAAAAAACAGAGCTTTGTTTTGAAAGATTTAAGACACTCATCGTTTGCTTAAGCCTTAAGTGAGGCTGCATACTTTACAAGTATTCACAGCCAATTTCTAAAATAATAATAATAAAAAAATGTGCAAGTTACTTCAAAGAGGTTTGCTTTTTCAGGACACTAGTTTCAACAGCAATGATACAAGCCTGCGCTAAGGAACCTGTTTAATCAAAGTAAAAGGTGGTTTGGACCCTTATCACAGAACTAATCCAAGACAACTGGGTTATACTCTCAGCCCTATCAAAGTTTTCCAACTATGTCTTTAGGCAAAGGAGTAAAATCAGATCCAGAGAGAGATTCAGCATTGAAACAGGTCTAAGACAGAAGTACACAATTAAACAGTAAAATGCACTTTTGCACCCTTGGCACCTTGGATTTTCCCTTTGCCCCCACATACAGAACATCCTTAGCCTGAGAAAGTCTGAACTCCACCGAGATCCAGAAAATACATGTTCTTGAATCAGTCACCAGAAGTATTCCACATACTAGGTATCCTTAAACCCAGGTAAGTACCAGGCTTTCCACAAAAAGATTCAAGTGATAGCTTTAAGAAGCCAAAATGCCAAAAAGCATGACTGAGGTTAGACACCTCTTCCCAGCCCCTGGGAATTCAGATGTTTCCCAGAACTGCAACAGTAAGACTAGCCTACCCCTCTTATAAAAATCAAGCCACTGAACAGCAAACATAGCATTACAGTAGTAAAGATCATAACCAGCTACTGGTTAATGCCTGCCACCAGGGAGAGGACACAGAGGAGGTGATACATGCGTTTCTGTAAATACTTTCACAGTTCTCCTTTGCCTTACTTTTCCAGTAAGGAAGAAAGTCAGTAAGGTATTCCCTCTATCCTGTTTTTTTCCTATCACATCTTTAAAGGCTCCTGCCCTTAAAGTTGTTTGTGCACATATATGCACAAATATAAGCCCACCTAGCACAGCATGTTGTTTAGTAAGGAAACACATACTTTGAAAATATGGTTTTATTTGAAGTTTATCAAAAATGTCTGAAATCTTATTCAAGAAAGGCACTTCAGACTTTAGTCCTTTTTCTTTTTAGCTTTGGGTTCTTGTGACAGCTGAGATAATCCTATTTCTTCAGCTTCCTCACAGTGCTTCCTTTTCTTTTTTTTAGACTTTTTATGGTCACTTTGGTAACCACTAGAGTCACTAGTAGGCAATACATGCTCCTGTTCTTGCTTATGTTTCTTCTTTTTCTTCTTGTTTTTATCATCACATATTCCATTCACAGCATCAACCATTTGCTCTTCTGTATTTTCCCTCCCGGTGTTATCTGTATCATCTACAGGCTCCTCTGTGCCATTTTCTCTCACAGAGTCAACTAAACCATTTTTCTTGTGCTCGAGCTTTTGAATTTCATCTCCATTTGTACCATCAGTGACTGTCTCAGATCTTCTGGGCTGCAAGCTGTAAAGAAATACAAAAAATAAGCAAAAGCAGAGACATCTAAGGGTACCTCACATAGCAAAATGTCAAGCTGTGCCAGAACACTGTATTTCCACCAAACACACAAGAGATCTGATACAAACAACAAGTGAAGAATATGATATTCTAGTTACCAAACTTAAAGCCAGTTAATACTTTTAATTTCAATTACCTGACTTCCTTATTACAGAATCAATACCATTTTGATGCCAAATTTAAAAAGTAAAGGAAAAAAGGGAGTAATTCATAGATTATTTATTTATACATACTTCGATACTGTGCAGTAGAGTTTTTTTAAGCTAGTCACAAACTTGCCGACAATGACCTCTGAAATCATACATGACAGAGACTGCTGGTTTTGTCAAGACAATTGCCTTGACAAAGTCTACTTGGTTAGAACCAAGACAATGTCAGTAGAGTCAAAGGGAGAGGAAGGGGAAAAAACAAAACAAGAAACCCCAGCAAGTACCTTGTGACTGAGAGCTTGAAAGAAAGTACAGAAAGACAAGTACAGAAAGAATTAAGTTAGAGCTGTACAGGAGGATATTCCCACTGAAGCACAGGGGACAAAGTCTGTAAGTTTCATATTGAATTCACTAAAACATCCCAGAGAATCCTTCCAGATCAAAAAAGGATCCACATTACCAATGTGGTTATGTTTGTATCTAAAAGTACAATATAAAGATTGAGGCAATAACACCACTTTTGGAGTAAAAACAATTACTCACCAAATAACCCTTAAAAAAAAAAAGTTTCTCTTAAAGAGATGTGACACTTCATATTTTTCTAGTAAGCTGCTCTGAAAATCCACTGTCTCTCTCTATAAGCACAAGTTACAGAAGAGAAATGATGCATTTTCTTATGTTATCTTTCAGTTCAAGCACACTTATTTTTTCAGAAGCATTTAAACCATCTATATGTATCTATTTATATATGTTTTTGGAAATCCCAGCATAAATGTATTCAGAAACTAAGACATTTTATTTGAAAAGCTTAGGCATATTCAAAAACAAAGCTATGTTAGACAGTAGAGAGGCTATTTTGAACATGTACAAATTATGCAATCAATAGTTCACACGTGAGTACACTTAAGATTTTTAAAGCTCAAAATATTTATTTTTGAGAAAAAATTTCTCAGCAAGCCCTCAACACAAAAATATTTAAGATAACACAGGCTATATATAGACATGGGTTTGTGTAAAAACAAGAAAACTTAGAGATTAAGAGGTTAATTCAAATCATTTAGTTTGCAACAAATTCATTAAATCAAATAGTTAAGAAAAATATCCCTAGTATGGTACAATACCTGGTTTTAGTCAGTCCTCCCCGAATGAAGAACACTCCAGCTGCATCAGAATCTAAATGCATTACTTGAAATTTCAATTCATCCCCTAGTTTCAACCCCAGCTCTTGCCACTGGGCAACCGACATTTGTTCGGGTTTAGGGATAGAAGCATTGAAGCATCCATGTATCAGACAGCCGATATGACTAGGGGCTACTTTATTAATTACACCCTAAAAAAAACCCAAAAAACAGTCATATGAAGATATATTAAGGATCACCTCTTTAAAAGAGACACATGATGTACATTTAGTTTCCTGTACAGACACTCTTGCACAATACTCTTTGTGCACAAGTTACTTGTTAGATAAACTGACCTCATACATTAACTGATTTTCATGTAGAAAAGCTACTTACGCCCAAAGCTATTTTCATACAGCTCTACTCAAATTAAAGACTGAAACTGTATCTGCAAAAAGAAATGTGTTCAGAAAAAGAAAGCGAGAAGCTACATAGAACAGTTAACTCTTTCCTCACACTGCAGTGACCAATGTTGATTTAAAGCCATTTTAAGCCTGATTTACATGTCTAAGATGACTTTCACCTCTGCAGTACCTGTGACACAAAAAACCTGTAAGTGCTCTATTCAGTGCATTTGTGACACATTTGCATATTTAACTTTATCTATCTTCTCCTTTTCCTAGAGATGAATGAACTACACAGAGGGTTCTTCCATTCTCTTCCCCTGAAGGGAATACCTTTTACATCTCAATTACATTTATAGAGGAATACAAGCCATACTTCCAAAAGTATGGCACAACAACAAAAGTCAACCCTCAACTTATTACTCCCACAAGTACTGGCATAAGGGTGTTAACAAGCTTAAAGCTCTTCCATGAGTCATATATCACTTTTTATTGAAATGCAGGCTTACATTTGATGTACTGCACTTGCACTTAAAGAAACTCTTCAATGTGTTCTAAACACTCCTGTCACTATTAAAGGAGAACAAACTAAACCGGTTTTAAGAGTTATATCTGCTGCTTAGAAAGGAGCACTGACATTTAATAAGTTTAGGAACATGCAGCACAGACTATGAAAACATCCACTATAGAACTACCTAAGACTCCCCAATCTCTTCGTGATGATTTTGATTACTTAAGAGAAAATGACCCCACGAGATGGCAACATATTTACATACCACCAGTTTTTTCCCTTTCTTGGGACTGAAGATGATGAAGTCCGCCTCAATGTTCAGATGGATGAATCCCTGGTCGTCGTAAATGTCCCCGAGCTCACCCACTACTTTGATGTTGTCATAAGCCACCGGCACTCCTTGAAGGCTGGAAGCAAAAGGGGAGAAGCGGTTAGTATGAGGCTGGCTAGGAGGTGACAGCCGCCAGCGGGGGGAGAGCGCCGGCAGAGCGGGGCGGGAGCTCGCCCTTGCCCCGGAGGGCCCCGGTGGGCTGAGGCCTGGGCTGAGCCCC